TTGTATGCCAACAATAAAGCCCTTTTCCAGGTGTGGGAACTCATGAAACCAAAACTGAACCATCTCCACCAAAAAAGAAAAGTTGTGTTATTCATATGTAAACATTTCTGCTTCAACGGTTGAAATTCTTTAGGCTGCCTATGTTCGTAAGTCTTTAAGGGGGGAAAACTGCAATAGTCTTGTAAACAACTGAACACCAGAAGGGGAAGTAAATAATAGCTAGAAGAACCAGATCAATCCATGTGGCTGAGTTTTGTTACATAACTAAAGTGGTGGCTATCATCTCCTTCTGGAAAAGTGAGCTTCATTTTAAAAAATACAAAGATATACAACATTGTTCCAGAATAATTCTTGGACAATCCCAAAATAGGCATGAAAGAAGAAATGTTCTGTTTCTAAAACCCAAGTCTAGTTTTATAACTTCTATCAAATGTCCCCATGGTTTTTTTCCCATCTAACTCAATTGCACCTTAATATTTTCTTATATTAATTCATGTCTTCCCAGTCTAAAGTGTACCAGGATTTAATAATTCAGCATAAACTAAACATTGATCAGCAAATTCTAAATTAATTTTCTACCCAATGAAGATTGTTAAATCAAAATTACCTATCTTTAACTGCCATTGATCCTGGTCGAAATTAACACTGTTTCTATTCTGAAGCATGCTTTTTTATCAAATGTATCCAGTAATGAATAAATATTGGCAATGTGAACTTGGTGTAGTCAAGAATTCTATCAATGCTATAGTTTAAAAAGAATAACAGATAAATAGAATTACTGTCATACATTCTTTCTTGACCAATATGATTCTACCAGAATTTTTTGTCACATACAATTCTGTAGTGGTTGTAATAGAGCCAGATAAAAATGTGGCCACTACAGAATTGGATAAGGTCTAAATCCAATTAAAATCAAGAGGATCACATCGTATATATACCTATTCGGAAATAACTCCTAAAGAGCTTCACAGTACTTATTTCTAAGTATGTATGTCAGGGGGTGTTGTTGTTGTTGTTGTTGTTGTTGTTGTTGCTGCTGCTGCTGCTGCTGCTGCTGCTGCCTTTGAGTCACTGTTGACTACTGGAGACTGCCTAGACAAATCCTGGCAGTTTTCTTGGCAAAATTGTTCAAAGGTGTTTGCCACTGCCTGCTTCCTAGGGCCGAGGGAATAACTGGCCCAAGGTCACCCTACTAGCTCTGTGCCTAAGGCAGGAATAGTATTCAGGGTTTCCCAATTTTTAACTGGAAACCATCAGGCTTCAGGTAAGGTTTAATTATATGATTTTAACTCTAATTTAAATAACAACCTTAATTTTATGTGTGAGTTTTGATTTCTTAAATTGGCTTATTTTCCTGTTTTTGCAGAAATTGATTAAAAATATGCTAATCAAATGTACTGTTAAAAAAGCTCATGAAAAGAAAATTTTTAATAATTATTATGCATGCAATTAAATTAAAGAACATTAATGATTTGCTCCTTGGAAAGGATTTTTTTCTTCTTTTAATCACTTAACATAAAATTTAATGAAACATTATCTCCATTCATTTTCAGATGGAAACAATGATGACACTTTCTAAGTGATTTGTTGTGATATATACAGGAAAAGCAAAATGTCAGAAATTGTGTAAGTGCGGGTGTGCTTATTATGAAGCAACACTCAAAGGCACAGAAGGTTTTGAAATGTGTTTTGTTCCAAGAGAAAGAATACTAATAAATATACAGTACAACTAGCTGTTTTTAAAGGCAACTAGCCCCATGGATATTTGAGTGTAGAGAATATAAGATGCTATCCCGCAATGAAACACTTCATGATATAACCAAAATATGAACTCTATTTTTGTGGTGTCTAGCCCAAAGCACATGGTTTCATGGGATTTTTCAGTGTAATCTCTTTTTGGGATAATCAATAAATCATGTTTAAGCAAGCCCAGATATAGCACAATGTGAGAATCAGGTAGTTGTGTTTTTGTGGTTGTAGTTACATCATAGCAGTTGAACTGAAACAAAGCAACATATCTACTTGTAGCTGGCTGCACTGAGAGAGAGGAAGTTAAATTTTTAACAGGACTTACCATGAAGACTTCTCAAAAGATTAGAAGGGGTTGAAAAGATTCTCAAAAATATTATTTTTTGTCCTGAGATTAAGACCCATCCCAGCCTTTGTTCTATAAAAAGGGAGTCTCATTTAACTTTAAGAAACAATGTGGATAATCCCTATAGTTTCTAAAGTAATAATATGGGAATAGCTTTCAATTAATTTTAATTTCCCAGCTTCAGCTACAACCCTGGGATATATTCATCTTTTATCATTTAAGTATTAAGATTTGTTCGGTTGGTTGTTTCAAGATCAACCAATGTCAACTGAGTGTTGCCCAGAATTTTGGCTTTGTCCATAGCAGTGGTCACCTGGGAAATGGTCCATCAGAAAATTTTGGTGGTCCACAGAGAAATGTCACCCCCAAAAAACCCCAAAGCAATTAATCTAGGCTGTGTGGGAACACAAAGGCTGTGGCCCGCGGGAAGACAAGGTTTCCATCGCTTGCATTGCAAACAACACGAGGTAGTGAACGGAGAGGGGAAAGGGTGGAGGGGAGGAACTTGACCCACATGCCCCGTGCACCTCGCCTGGCCACCAGGCTGCTTCTTGGAATTTCTTTCTTTCTCCCAAACTCCGTGAAAAATGAGTCTTTGGGACCCTGCAAGGCATCCTGCTCCAAAAGGCTGCGCTGGCAAAGTCTCATTTCTGGAGGAGTTTGGGGGAGAGAAAGACTTCTGCTGCTTCTGCTGCTTTCCTTGCATGAAGCCAAAAGTCTCTCTCTCTCTCTCTCTTTCTCTCTGAGAAAGGAGCTAGAAATGGTATCCTGTGATCCCAAATAAAGAACGATCGATCGGTAGGAAAACAGGGTGGGGAATTTTCCTGCAGACGTTTTGGGGGATTTTCCCAGGGTCTCTGCAGACAGAGAACTTGAAAAATCCACAAAAAAAAGTCTGCAGGAAAATCCCCACCCTGTTTTCCTACCGATCGATCTTTCTTTATTTGGGATCACAGAATACTCTCTCTCTCTCCCCCCACCTCCCCGCTCCTGGGAACGAAGCTGAAAAGTAGATTAGAAATGTGGCTGGCTTGGAGGGGGTGTCTAAAGTGTGTGTGTGTGTGTGTGTGTGTGTGTGTGTGTGTGTGTGAGAGAGAGAGAAAGAGAGAGAGAGAGAGAGAGAGAGAGAGAACATCATCTCCAGCCCTCCGAGGTTAGATTGGATCTCTCTCTCTCTCTCTCTCTCTCTCTCCCATCAATATCAGCAAGCCACTGTCAGTCAAAATTCATATTAGTGGTCCACGGGATTTAAAATTATGAGTTTGGTGGTCCCTGAGGTCCAAAAGATTGGCGGTCCCTGGTCCATAGTATCCTCAATTCAGTCGCAGAATTACTGAGTGGGAAGAGATCTGAAATATTGTCTTGCTTCTGGCCCAGTACAGAAATACAGAATCTTACTGCTTACTCTGGGTCCGGGAAGAAAAGTCAATTCCTAAGTCTCAATCACATCTTTCCCACCAGTTTCAAGCACCTCAAATTTGTTGGCTTGGTATCTATCATCATCTATGACTTTCACATCATACCACCTTTTAATTTTCTTTTTGCTGAGCTAAATGCGCACAACTGATCGATTATACTTCTTAGACTTTGGTTCCTCATCCAAGAGGCTGTAAGTCTCTTCTACACGTATGCCTGATAATGCCTGATAAAATCACAGCCAGCCATTCTTCAAGAAGCACCAACCAATACAGTAGCCAAGAGTTTTCAGAACACCTTTGCTTTTTGTCCTAATGTTGACTTTAGTCGAATAGTAAAAGTGAGGAACCCTACAAGCCAGCAGGTTTGCAGAAGATAAACTTTTATAGGCTAGAGATAAACTAGAGTCCATTTCAATAGTGCATTGAATGTTCTCTTCACTAGGAACATATACTGTGGAATAAAACATCCAACAAGTTCTAAACTGAAAGAGAGAGAGAAGGAAGGAGGGAGGGAAGGAGGAAGGAAGGAAGGAGGGAGGAAAAAAGAGAGAGAGAGAGAGAAAGAAAGAAAGAAAGAAAGAAAGAAAGAAAGAAAGAAAGAAAGAAAGAAAGAAAGAAAGAAAGAGAAAGAAAGAAAGAGAGAGAGAGAAGGGAGGGAGAAAGAAAGAACAGAAGGAAGGAAGGAAAGGGGGGAGAAAGAGAAAGAAAAAGAAAGGAAAGAAAGGAAGGAAGGAAGGAAGGAAGGAAGGAAGGAAGAAAGAAAGAAAGAAAGAAAGAAAGAAAGAAAGAAAGAAAGAAAGAAAGAAAGAAAGAAAGAAAGAAAGAATCAAGGAATGAGCTGTCTAAGAGCTGCAGTTATTAAGACTAGTTGAAAGTGATTATCACAGCAATTGCTAAGATAAAATCACAGGAAATGGTGCCTGGAGAGCACCATCTTCTATTCTCAGCAACTGCTACCCATCTTTAGGTACTTCATCGTTCGCACGCAGAGACACACAGAGACAAATCCTCATTCAAGTAAAAACGAATGAATAATTCAGAGGCAACGAGGATTGGGGACTACGTACCGTTATATAAACCCAAACAAAGTCTTTCCGATCTAAAATCCTCATGACCACAATCTATTTTCCCGGGGATCGACTGGGCGCGGGAGTTCGGGTCCCAATGCCGCAAAGCGGGCAGGTTGGATGCACTAATACCCACATGCAAAGCTGGGAGACCGGTTCCCCTCAGCGTCTTTTTGTCTCCCCCCCACCCACCCACCCAAAGAAGGAGCCTTATTGCTCGTACCGGGTGAATACTTTTTTTTTCTCCCCCCCCCCCCTGCCCTCTTTTGCTGAGAGTGGATTCTAACGAAGGTGACTTAGCAAGTCCCCTTGGAAGACGATCCCAAGGATGACTCCGTCTGGGTAGCTGCAGAGCCTTCCAACCGCCCTGCGACAGAGGAAAAGAAGGGGACCCACGAGCGAGCGAAGGAAGCGAGGTACCTGAAGTTTGAGCCACCGCGGGACTCCAAAAGGCCAGGAGCAGGAGCAGCTGCAGCTGGACCGCGCCGGAGCCCCTCATGGTGCAAGCAGCGTCCGAGCGAGCTGTGCGAGGAGTTTAAATTCCGCAGCGCCCCTAGCGGCCCTTCTCGGCTCCTGCAACCTGTTCTCAGTTTTCGGTGCTCTAATAACCGGAGCCGTGACGTCAAAGGAGAGGCCGGCAGCGAATGGGGTCGCTGCCTTGACAGAGAATCCGCTGGCCTGTAGGACGGCTCGATCCCTTTGGTTGGAGGGGGCTCCTTCCCCCAACGTGGCGCTCTCTAGACCGCAGGGCATGCGGCTCCGGTCATGCCAGTGAGGGTGGCCGTGGGAAGCCTTGGGGGGCGGGAGGAGGGGTGTGTGAATGTGGAAGTGGGACGGTGGCTCGGAGCTGGGAGCAATGAAGCCATCGATGCGGGGCGGGGAAGTGTCGGGTGGGGGCTCAGTGATCGAAGACGCGCTTGGTCCAAGCCGGGGCATCTTTTGGCATTAAATAGGGGAGGATGAAACCTCATCAAAATTGGGAAAGTTGGACTCGTAACCCGACTGGCGCGTGATTTCTGGTCTACCATTGCCTGCAAGGAAGAGGATATTCCCCGTCCGACGCCCCCCCCGCCCTCCCAGTTTGTTTGTTTGTTTGTTTATTGATTCATTTATTTTATTTCTCCAATGTGTACAGCTGTCCCTCTCAACGAATATGACTTTGGGCGGCTTAAGTTACAAAAATAAAAAAGGTTCAAAACACGCAGGGGAAAAAAATAATACCCGACCCAAAATAACCCAAGCCATGACAAAAACCAAAATCATGAAAAAGTATGGAAATTATAAAAATAATATAATCAGCAGGACAGCACAGTCCAGTTCCTTAACAATACAGCCCAATTTCCTTACAGCCACTTTGCAAGTTTCACACCACTTTAATGCCGATGCTTAGGGCAGGATCTGTTTTTACAGTATTTATATTTCTTGTTTTAAATAGGGGAGCTGATTTCTAAGCCTTTCAGAATTCTAGATTTGAAGCAAAACATCCTCCCTACCAGGTTTCTTTTGTTTTTAAAAAAGGGTTTCTGGTCTTATATAGTTTTGGTCAAACAACAAACACTCCCAAGTAATGACTGACATGGACAGTATGGAGACAGGCAAACTCCTTCCTTTTTATGTGAAGTAATTGTTGCCCCATAAACCAAGAACAGAAGCAATGATATAAACTGTGATTTATATCAGTCAAGGGTTTAGTCTCATCAGATCGTGCACTGAGAGCTGCAGAGGGTCACAAAAGGCATGATTACAGCTACAACCATAGAATTGAAGGTCCACGATTTGTATATATGCACAGTAAAAAGGGCAGTGCCTCAATTTTATTTTTTATTCATTTAATTTGTTTTTTTACCCTTTTATTGTTATTATTTTAAAAAATATCCATCTGGTTCAGCTCCAAATCAGGAGAAAGACACAGGAAACATGGAGGCTGCTTGGAAAGATGGTGGAGTTGAGAGTGTGGGGGTGGGAGTTATACCTTATCTTGGGCTTTGCACTTTAGCTTCCTGTTCCTTGTATTCTACTGGCTGTTATCAGACTCCCATGGGGCTATGTAGGGGTTATGTAGGGGTCATAGCTGGCTCTTTAGGCAAAGTACAAATCTTAGGTGTTTGTCCAAGCTAAGTTTGGTTTAAGTTTCTGAGGGTGATGCAATGTGGGGTCTTAGAAACCCCTGGATAGTTTCATTATATGAACTGCAGCAAGCACAGTGCAAAATAAGAGGATAAGCACAATAAGCACAATGAAGAAACAACAGCCAGTAATGTGTTGTCCCAGAAACAGGAAGTAGTTGTGGCAGAGCTAGCAATGTTTCTAACTTTAACCCGACTTGTTAAAATGGCAATTCTTTTGAAAACATGGTTATTACTTATATTGTTCAAAAGACAGCATGTTTTTAAAATTGGACAATAACCAATTAAGTGTTATTATCCCACAGGTAGAATTACCTATCCTGCACAATGCTCCAAGATTGCTATCCTTTTTCTCTTGTAGTATTAGTGGGTGGGTGGCTTTCAAAAGGCTGGCAATACAGAGAGGAGTAAAGATTGAAGTTGATTTTAGTAGCAATGCAACTTATTAAAGATTTTCATTGTTTCAGGCAATCTCCAAAGGTATCAAGGAATACAATGTATTTTTTATAACTTCTTACAATTCTTAACCTGTCTTCCTCTCTCTTTCTCCTTTCTCCTTCCTCCCTGTTTAAATCCTAAGTCAGTGTAGCCACTCTGGGCATCTGACCTCATGAATGCTTGGGCCTTTAAATAAAAATAATAATAATAAAGCTTTAAATTATTTTATTCTATAATTCCCCTCCTGCAATTATCAAATTAAATATTAGAGAGTTGTGTTGTGTATACAACCTTGAGTCTGTAAGACTTCATTTATCTTTGAGGGGCGGTGTCTTTTCTTATTGTCTTTCAACAGGTCTTCCTTTTGAAACAGAGTTTAAGATTATACTGCAGAACTGTTGTGCATGTATTTTAATTCTCACCATGATGTAGACCAGGGGTGTCAAACTCGCGCTGACACATTGTCGTCACATGACATATTGCAATTTTTCCCCCTTCACTAAACCGGGGGTGGGGGTGGCCAGCATGTGATGCATCCAGCCTATGGGCTGCGAGTTTGACGCCCCTGATGTAGACCTTCAAAATAAAATAAACTGAATTGATAGGTCAACTCAATCTCTGTTGCTCTGTTTTGAGGCCTTAAATTAAAGTGTTGAAGCTGACTGGACATGTCCTTTCCTTGGCTATGCATCCAGCACTTAAAAGGAAAGTCTGGATCAAAGCTTAACTGAATCTAAGAACTGCTTCAAAGTTCCAAGAACCTCTATCAAGCCTAAATGAGAACATCTTGTTGGATTTCAGCATGGATGATGGGATTATTCTTCAGGGCAAAGCCATTCAGCCACAATACAAACTGCACAACAGAGCCCCTTCATTGCATCAACCCAATCAGCTATGACCCCTGTATAGCTCCATGGGAATCTGAACCAATAGAATACATGCCCTTGCCACAGGAACAGGAAGCTCAAGGACAAGGCCCAAGAGAGGGTATAAATAACCCTCAGTCTCACTCCATGTTGTCAACTGCACTCCATGTTGTTAACTGCTTGATGGTTTTGCTCCATTAAACCATCTTTCCTATCAGCCTCCATATTTCCAGTGTCTTTCTCCTCACTTGGAACAGAACCAGAAGGATATTTCTTTCAACACCTCAGAATAACTAAATAGGCTCAATTGTGATTTGATGGCAAGTGCACTGTTTGGTTATGTCCATGAAGTCACTAGGAGTCATGTTTGAATAAAGAAACATTGCCCTTTATCATTAGAAGAGCGTAGGCAAGCAGAGTATATTAGTGTTCATCTCTTTGATGTATATCTTGCTATCTTCCCAAAATAATGATCATAATGTTAACAGTTCCTTGATCAGCCTTTTAAATGATCAGGAGGGATCCTTGGATTTTAACCCTTCAACACTTTAGCCAAAAACAGAAATACATTGGCTAGATTAGAGGTTTAACTTTTTTTAAAAAAAAATGGGTTGTACATAATTTCTCAAGTTCAGGCTTGACAGATCTGTTGCCAAAGCCTTTCCACACCTGAACTAAAAATGGCCTTTTGTTTTTCAAATTAAATGTGCAACAGGTACATTTGCCATTCCAAGAAGAAATATGCAATTCTACTTGGCAGTGTAGTATAGAATTCAAGTAATTGCAGAAGTGTATAGTGTTAGTTGTTTGTTTGTTTGTTTAAGTCCAATCTACAGTGAGAAAGTAAAAATAAATTTAAATCCCAGCCAAGTGCATTAATTTCAGGATTAATCCCTGAGAAGTATTCCAATCTGAAACCTGTAGAGCCGGTGCCTGTCGGCTGAGGCGGTATTAAACTTCATTGGCAAATGTCCAGCTCAATATAAGAAATCTTCTTGTATTACTAGTCTAGAAAATGAGAATGTTATGTAAAATTGTCAAGCTTATAAATCAGGTGGCCAAAAATCTTCAGTATCATTCTTAAGGTTGCTGAACTTGATTTCAGTTATGGGAAATGACACTGAAGACAAAAATAATAGATAGGATATGGGGTAGAAAGTATGTACACAAATCCCAATTACAATCTATTTTGAAACCTCCCATATTCCACTGCCCTCCTCCCCAGAACAATTGCTGCAAATGCTTGTTTTCCTATGTTGCAATCATATGCAGATTTACCCGGATGGAACCTTAATTGTGTCAAATTTGGGGGAATGGGAGGAGAGGATTGTTATCCTGTAACCAGAAATAAGACATTGTTTATTTTACTGTTTTATTAAAAGGTACCACTAAAAAGATACAAACTATACAAACTAAATGTATAAAAAAGAAAAAAAATAGAAAGTGCAGAAAAGAAAAATAGAAAAACAGAGAAGAAAGAAAAACAATGAAAACATAGTAAAGAAAAAGAAAAGAAATATATAAATTTCTTCATCACAAGTATGAACAATTTTAATACCTTATCACCTTCTCTTGAATTACAACAAATGAGGCCTTCTTCCTGTATACCCTCACTTGTGGATCTTGAAAAATTGAGCATTGTCTGGTCTGTTTAGACAAGACTTAAGCAAGATTATTTGGAGAAAAGATCACCAGCTTTAGAATGGATTGGGAAGTTAGAAATCAATAGCAAACCACTTCTATATATGGCATGTATTTTTGCATGAAGTTTCTAGGAGTTAAGGACTAATTGAGAAAGTAATTATGTTTACATTGTCAAAATAGTTCTCAGGGGAAAAAATTGCTCCTAGACCATTGGATATTTCTTTGCTTTCCTCCCAGCAATTAACCTAGATAAAAACACTACCTTTCTCTTTTGGCAGCCAAACTCAAAACAATATACATGCTGATTTCTGACAAAGGACTTTTCTACACTGAAGCCTTCAGTGGCCTGTCTCTCATACAAAAGCTGGATGCAAATGAGGCCAACTTAAGAAATTCTTTTTGGATTTCAACCCATTTCTTTATTTTTACTTGATGTTTTATATGCACCATGCTATTGCCCTAGCTGGAGATTCTTCTATTTCCTTACCTGACCTAGG